ACGCTGTCAAGAATCTTCTCTTGCTGTCTTTCTCTCTCTCTTTCCCTTAAATCTTTCCAGTGGTCACAACATGTTCCAGTTTCTCTCTTCTCATAACATGACCCCCAAAAATGATGATTGTCTCTTTCTGATTGTGATAAGTTTTCTTTGAGCCCTCGCTTTTTTCAAAACATCTGGATTGATTTTCTTAGCTGTCCAAGAATTCTTCTGTAAAACCACATCTCCAAGCCTCCAGAAATTGTTCGGCGTGTTATTAATTATCCAGCATTCACAGCCATATGTTAAAACTGGATCTATATAGCATGCGAGAATTCCTTTCATAACCTCCAATGACATGGATTTCATTGCAGAAAATGTTCATAATTTTATAAAATGCAGTTTTGGCCTGTCATATTCTGTTGTTTATTTATGTGACACATCTTCCGTCGGATGTTTCCCCTGTATTCGAATACTTAAAATCATGCACTTGTCCTAAAATAACACACACACACACACACATATACACACACACACACACACACACACACATATATATATATATATATATATATATATATATATATATATATATATATATATATATATATATATATATATATATATATATATATATAATACATTTAGTCACAATTTTTTTCTTGGAAATCACAATGACTTCCTGGGGCCCATTTTAGCAGCTTCTACCACCATTGTACCTATCAATCCCTGTAGGTTTTATTTCCCTGACATGTCGGCATTTACATAACATAACATAACATAACACAACCCTTGACTCGTTAGGGTCGTGGAATTGTATTGATGAAAGCACAAGCGCGTAAAAACCGCCATCTTTCTCTGTCTTCCGCTTGATGAAGAAGTGTGTGATAACTTAGTCCTGTCATTTTCTTGATCTTATCTTTCAAAATCCTTTTTGCCCTCCTCTTCTTCGACTCCCCCCCCCCCCCCTCTCCCACTCCCCCACTATTCCTTGAAGGACAACAGTCTTTGCAAGCTAGCTCGCGACGCTGCACCACTGCAAGAGGCTCCTGATGTCCTGCAAATTTGTATATTTTGTCTATGATATATTTATGAGTTTTGTGTTGTAAACAACTAATTCGTAAAATGCGTCTATAGCATTTACATTCGAAAGCCTGAATCCTCCTTTCCACTTCCACGCTGAGAGTCCAACTCTCACATCCGTATAAGAAAATAGACAATACCAGTGAATTGTAAATATTGACCTTAACTGCCAGGCAGATTTTGCTATTCCACATTGTATTTAGCTGGAACATAGCGGCTGTTGCCAGACCAAGTCTTGTTGGCATTGATTGATATATAGTGTATGTATTTGCTGAAAGATGCTTACGTCGGTCCATACATTGTAGGGACTAAGATGGATTGTGAGTAACATTCTGTCAAATGTCGTGTTGAATGCAGGGGAAAATTAGTAAGGGAGAGCGGATAAATTCGTCATCATCGTCATCTATTTGAATTGGCTAAGTTCAACCATTTCCTAGATAGCATTAGTTATAATTTTGGCGCCTGTTCGTGGTGTTTTTTTATTGTGTGTTTCTTAGTTTTAGTAGGTCTAGCCTCTCATGTCTGTCCAGACATATTTTCTGCATGTTGTTTGTATGGCCGTTATCTTCGTGCTGTTGGTTAATTTGGTGAACGTCGTGTTGCGGGATTATAGGATCTCTGACATTTGTTGCAGTCATCTGTTCTACTTTGTTTTTCATAACGTGTCTGCTATTGTGGTCGCTCTCTTGAAGTCAATTGGGTGGTTTGTTCCATCGTAATTTGTCGGTGGTTTCCACTACGGCAGATAGGAGAGGAATAAAAAAGAAAATTATTACAGATAGGTTAAGTGCTGAGCGTCAGAGAAGACGTGTGTTACACACACAGGATGATAACAGTGGCGCTAAAATGCCACTCTTTGATTTGGAAAGACGATTCTTATTGAAATCAGTGCTTGTTATAGTACGTTCAGAAAATTGTGAACGCTTCTGCATTATATTTTCTCGAAAACTGCCTGTTATATCGTAATGATTTGTTGCACTCAGCCTTCATATATCCATGACTAGAAAACAGTGCTTTTCTTTACTCTATAAATGCTAAGGATTTTGCTAATTAGTCAGTTTCTTTTTATGTTTTCGAACTATTGTAAAAATGTGAAAAAAAAATTTTTTTTTTTTTTTTTTTTTTTTTTTTTTTTTTTGTTTAAAGAAATTTTTTGATTTTACACTAAACACTTTAATTTCAAGTTCAAGTTCATTTTTTTTTTCAGAGGCGTGTCTCCCTAATAAATAATGCTCTGCCCAGACAAAACGACAGTTTTGTTCTTTTCTCTTGGTCATGAGTATCACAATATAAATGACTCCTCTTAGATTCCTAGCGGAAGTGCTGGTACAATAAAACTGTAACATTCTGCAGTTATAAATTTGAACCTCAGAATCATGAGATTGACGTCTATGTCTGATTTTATACGCCAGTTTTGACGCAATAACTCACTATTAATTTGTGGATACAGTTTTAACAACCTTGAACGACGTTTTTTTTTTTTTTTGGATTCCGTTCACTAACAGTATGGTTTTGCACGAGAAAGTCGTGAAATTACAGTTTTTCTTTGACCCCTTGTTGAAACTATTATAGTGTGCATTACTTCCTTAAATATTTTAAAGTAAACTTTCCAAAACTCTACCAAGACAGTTTGGTGAAAAAATATACAGCGTAAAAAAAAAATGAGGAAAGAAACTACATTTGTTATTCTTCATTAGTTACAAAATATTTCGTTAACGTCGTGGATGTCTGGAATGTGCGTGCCAAATTTCATTACAATTGGTCCCTTAGTTTCCAAAATATTAAAATCTTTTCATGTTCATGAATTTATGAACGGACTATAGTTACACGCCATAGCCAATAGCTACTATTGCTATGACTCCCTATGAGAAAGTAAACACTATACCCGATGAAAGACGGAAAGATGCCAATACTTACGCTCGGCTGTGGATTGATCGGTCTTAACTTAGGCTACACCAGCTGACAATTATGGACCAAAGAAGAACGAAGGATTCAACTTTGTATCTGATATTTTCCTGCTGGTTCCCCTACCCAGACTGAGATTTGTTAATCTCTGGTTGTCCAACGTTAGGGACAGCAAAACACATCACATAACTAGGTCAGTGTTAAAATTCATAAATAAAGTGCAACTGCCAGGTTGAATTTGTAAATCCCTCGCTAACTGCACTGTAAATGTCGGGTATATATGAACATTTGCCCGGAAATGCTTCCATCTTGTCTATCCTCGCGGATTACCTTGAAATGATGATAAGGAGTATGTGTGGGGTCTGAAAAAAAAAAAAAAGACAGACACGGATGTATGCAGCCACACTGTCGCTCCACAACCAGTCGTTTTACTCTGGTGTTTATCAGCTCTGCTGTTAAATGCTAGTTAAGACACTCATAACGTGTCTGGCACGTTACTTTTCAGCAGTTAATCTACTGCAGCTGGTATTTTTATGTAATTGAAATGAGATTATAACCCAGTTAGAAAGATTATAACGCAGTTAGAAACTATTTATACTATTTAGAATGCTATTACTCAAGAGTGATTTGATCAATATTGCTGACATTTTATGTAGAAACTTCTAGTGGTAATGCAGTTATAGGAAATGTTTTGATGACATTTGACTATAATTTTTTTTATTAAAAAAAAAATAATTATAATTATGGCAGTTACTATAAGCAAGTCGGCGTCTGTGGCGTAGGCGTTGCGAACGTGCTTCGTAATGCCGAGGTGCCGGATTAAATCTCAGCTGTGGACGGTTTGTCTTGCGTGTGTTTCAGCAGTGTTACGGAGAGCCGACCTTGCAGTAGCAATCGCAAACTACTGGACGTAAATGTGCCTAGAAAAATCACAACAGCCAAAAAAGTGCTGAGGTTGGTTTTTTATAGAATATACAACAAATGTTTCTGTAACTATAAGCAAAAGACAGAAAACTACACATAACTCCCCCTGTGAGGCATTGCGGCATAAGCAGTAGGATAAGGGAGAAAAAGATTAAACTTCAGTAAGTTGATAATATAAAGACATTTAAGCTACAAAAACAGTATAACTGTAAACTATCAAATCGCAATGATGTTGACAATATAGGTAGGTAAGCTGTACCCAACCAGCACTTCACACAAGTGATAAACACCCGGTGACTCAAAGTGCCACCATGCGGATAAGGATCACCCGTGGAGAGTTCTATGAAATCCTGTTCACTCCTTAGGCCAGATTTCAGGACTGGCTATATTTAGAGCCCTGGCAAAAGCCAGGGTGTGGATTCAAAATAACCCCAAAAAAATGGCATCTCAAAAAGGGACGACTTCAGCTGTAAGACTGACAACATCAAGATACATAAACTATTATTCTTTGTAATCTTTGCAATGATTCTGTGAATAATAAATGAAGTTTAAAAACATTTGTTTCTGGACGGGTAAGTGAACTTACAACATCTAGTGTTCCGGAAAGATCTTTGAAGTCATAGGCGCCGGATCAAGTGAACACCATTCACTTCCTCTGTCAATAACAAAAAATATAAAAGACAATACATCGACACGGAATGACATCAACCAGTGCTACCCATGGAGTGCTGGACTGCAATTTGTTCCTTCCAACACATTTTATGACAAGGGTGGAAGTTGATGCTAAAATTACGAATAAGTAAAGGTCCAATTTCCAGAGCTTGCAATTTTACCATCCACCACCTTCTTCCAACCCCTTTTTTCAGCTCGCCAACATAAATGTTTTAGGGCTAGCTAAGAGTTATCCTTGAAGTTACCAAATCGGTATCTCTGAAATTACTAAGTGCGAACTTTGTGATGCGCTATCAAGATGATGAACAACCACTCTGCCGGAAAACGTTTTGCTTTATGCGATACAACCTAGTGCAATGAATTGATCCCCTGGTCTTGTTAACATGTGTAAATAATTATCCTAAAAGTAATGGTGTTATATTTCTATTCTAGGTCTACAAATGGCGGGCAGAATCTGGTTTTTGAAAGTGCTGGTGTGCGCGGCTATATTCATAGCCTCTTCAAGTTTTGCAGATAATGTCTCATCGATCACTCGATTCTCGTCCGACGATGACTCCCTGTTTCTGACCCCACTGATTGACAAGGACGACATCGCCAGGGCACGAACTCTGAGCGAGGTTAAATTGGGCAAGCTGAATTATGAGCTGCGAAGTCATTCTGGTTACATCACCGTGGATAGGTTACTTGGCAACCATCTGTTCTTCTGGCACTTTCCGTCCCAGGAGAGTGAGAAAGCTCCACTTCTAATGTGGCTGAATGGCGGGCCAGCAGTCTCCTCAATGCTCGGTTTATTCTGGAAGCATGGGCCATTGGAGGTCAACACAGAGAAATATGGTACGAATTACTCCCTACGAAAGCATACTTGGGTTGGACCATTCTCTGTAGTTTACGTTGATAACCCTGTTGGAACCGGCTACAGTTTCTCCGAAGTAGGGGAGGCAGGTTATAAACTGACGCAGGCAGGGTACACGCACGATCTGTATAACTTTGTTCTGCAGTTCTTCAAAATGTTCCCTGAATACAAAACTAGAGGTTTCTATATTGGTGGTCAGTCTTACGCGGGAAAGTACGTCCCAGCTTTGGCTCATAAAATATACACACAAAGACACAACGAATCTGCTGATATCCCTCTGGCTGGGATCATATTAGGAGGACCTTATTTCGACCCACCTACAGAAAGTGTGGCCTTCTTCGACTTCCTTTACGCGGTAGGTGCCATAAGCTACTACGACATGGAAAGACATAAGGCTAACGTGAAGACCATGTACCAAAAATTTCTTGAGGGCGGCATCGTCAAACAAACCTTCTCTGAACTGTTCACAGACCTGGTTCTCTTGAAAGAGCTCCCCTTGCCCTCATTAGATAACTACGTCACTGGGAAACCAGCTGATTACAACCAGGTGCAGACGATAATGAGCTCACCGGAAATGCGAAAGGCTGTACACGTGGGAACCAGACGTTCCTATTTCGCGTCCAACGACAATCTTTCGGAGCGCTATGGCCCGGATGTGTTTGTTAGCACTAAACCTCAGATGGCAGTCATTCTGGACAATTACAAAGTCTTGATTTACAATGGCGACTACGATGTGGTTGTCAGCTCGGCGATGATAGAAGCAGCATTGATGTCCACTAAATGGTCGTTGCAGAAGGAGTATAACAATACTCGAAGGTGAGTACACATATATGCATTCACACATAGTAATGGTGGTGGTGGTGGTGGTGGTGGTGGTAGTAAAAGTAGTAGTTGCAGTAGCAGCAGTAGCAGCAGCAGTAGTAGTAGTAGTAGTAGTAGTAGTAGTAGTAGTAGTAGTAGTAGTAGCAGCAGCAGCAGCAGTAGTAGTAGTAGTAGTAGTAGTAGTAGTAGTAGTAGTAGTAGTAGTAG